GTATCTGTTGTAATTCCTCATAACTAACTTAAAATCCATAATGAAATATTTTTTAAAGTGCCTGAGGTGCCTCAAAGACCTCTACCAGAAGAAAAAGTACCTGTTCCTGTCCCTAAAAAAGAAACTCCACCAGCTAAAGGTACATCAGCTATTAGATAAATTTTTTTAAAAAGCCTTCTGCCTGAGTGTCTGAATCTCCAAATCCAATAATTTGCCTATTCTGATTGGCCTGCTAGTCCCTTGACTTTCTTTTGCAGTATAGTCAAAGACAGAGAATAAGTTACTAAAAAATAATGTTTCTTTAACAAATCAAAACTGAGACAAATCACTTTCTGAAGGCAAAGGAAGTGCAGGTAGGACCTTCAAGATTTAATTTTTGCCATCACAATATTAATGACATTTTATAGTTAATTATTGAAAACAAGCAGATGAGTAAATTAGTAGAAGTTGAGCTATAATGCCATGTCAGCGAAAATCCAGTTACGTATACAATCCTAAAAAATTAGTACCTTCTTCAGCCTAATGATGTTCTGGAGTGCATACGATCTTTATAATTAAATTTCTCTGTATCAGGACTACAAAAGATACGAGTAATGAATAGCAATTGTCAGTGGATGATAATATAGCTTCTGTACTAGTCTGGAGCCCTGTAATTGCCTGTTCAGCGCACTTAATTTGCCAGAAATTCATTTTCTGCTAACTTTTATAGTTGTTTCTCATATGAGTTATCAGAATGAAATCAGTGGGCAGAGGGGTGGGGGGTGTTGCATAGACTTGGAGTTAGTTAGTCAGAAATTAAAACCTTACCGTATTCCCAGTTGGCATTAGTTAGAGCTGATAGTTCATGAAGCCTTATTGTTAAGGCTTATCCCAGTCAAAAATTCACCCAAGAGCACTGTTTCTCTTTCAGTGAATACTAAAGACTAACTATGTGAGTCCAAGCAAAATAGTCCAGATGGGCGGCCACTCAAGGTGGCAAGGTACACCACTCAATAGCAATTGAGGACACTGTATTTTTCTAAATTTTCTGACTCTTTACATTGTTTACTTTTTGTTTAACTTCTATTTGTACACAATATTCTTACTACAAAAGTTCTTAAAAAAACACACCAATGTCTTTAAAGTGCCAGCAGCCCTGAAGAAACCTGTTCCAAAAGAAAAAGCACTACCTGCTGTTCCTAAAAAGGAAAAAACTCCGCTAGCTAAAGGTATACTTCCTCTGTATTGTCCTCGTGAAATATGAACTTTGATTCCAGTCTTTTGTCTCGTTATTTGTTGAGAAACTTGTGCATATATTTTATGTTCCCACATTGTTTTTTTCAACTGTTTGTGATTGAGTCTTTTTTTGTCTGTTGGTTTCATTTTTGAAAATATGTTGTCAGTTTAAAAAATATGTGTTCTGTTGTTAAGCTACATATGAAAGCAGTTCAGAAAGAAAGAATATTCTTGTTTCTTCTGAAAATTAAGGAGATTCTACCATCCAAATGTATGGTCATATTTCAATAATTCTTTTTTAACATGTTCTGTCTAACCTTAAAAATTCACATAGATATTCCTTCAGGAACCATTTTATCCTTTGTCGTTTCATGAATCTTCTTTGTTAGATTTCCTCTTCTTTCTAAATTCTTCCAAATAACTTTGAAAGCCCTAAAAGTCAATTATATCTTAAAGGGCCAGCTGTTCTCGAAAGAACTGTCCCTGAAGAAAAGAAACCTATACATATGCCTGAAATAGAAGTTCCACCAGTGAAAGGTAAAGGAAAAGGAACCTTTGATATGAGATTTTACGGAAAGAAAATACCTCTGTCATTTTTCTCAACTAACATCTTCTAAAATGATCCTCATAGTCTTTACAACATGGCAAGAGTATCTAGATTCAACTCACACTGATAAATTGAAAACTGGGAAGCAAACATTTCAGATATGTGCTATACATGTGCTAAACAGTAAATACATGGATTTATGAATGAAAACAGGCTGAGAAGGCACTACCAGTATGTAAACCTTCAGTGCTTTTATATTGATAATATAGTTGTGAATTTAGTTTAAGCTGGGTTTTGGAAACCAATACATTGGTCATGATACTGATGCAGAAGTAATATGGCAAGAGCTAGCAAATTAAAACTATTAAAACTGTTACACATATCAGAGGGAACAGCATGATGATACAGTGAGAAATGTAAATGGCTTATGCTCTCTGAGAGTAGAAACTATAAATTTCTTTGCATAATTAATTGTTCCAGGAAGACAGTTCTAGAACTGTACAATATTTCACTCTTGAAAAGGCACACTATTTTTGTTTGGGATTTTAAAAGTGGAAAAATAATTTGAGGTTACTAAAAGAAAGCTAATATCTTTAAAGTTCCTGAGTTTCATCAGAGAGCTGTCCTTGAAGAGAAAGTACCCACCATTATTCCTAGAGAAGAGGAGCCTCCTTTGTATGAAGGTACATTAATGACACATCTACCAAGCAGTAAATTGCAGAAAATATATCAATTCCTGCTCTAAATTCTTCTGTAAAATATGAAACATTTTCAATTCATTTTTTTAATTATTTAAAAGTAACTTGTCTTTGAGACCCTCCTCCCCCCAGATTTAGTTATAGTTTAGCATTTATTAAATGTTCTTTTCTCCTCTATTAATGGGACAAAGAGACATAAAGAAGAGAGAAACTAAGTTTCTGATCCAGTGTTTTACCCACATTAGACCAAAGAAATAACTTAAGTAGACACTGTTTTAAGAGCCATCCTGAGTAAGATTTAATTAATTTTTGAGCTGTGATATAGATAGTTAATGCCAGATGGAGGACATGTGAAATTCAATTACAATTTCTATCTAATACACAGAACTAAGTAACCTGAAAACAAAATATTTCTGTAAACTTGTATTTTAGTAATTGGGAATGGTCATTTCTAGCAATAGGAGGAAAATGATCAGGCTGAAATGAGATATTTAAATTATTTATGTTCAAACAGCTCTTTGTCCATATACATGTGTGCATTTTTGAATTGTAAGTTGTCTTTCTAATCTTGTCTTATAAATGATATTAAAATATGTAAAAAAACCTAATATCTTTAAAGAGCCTGAAGTTTACGGAGAAGTTCCAATAGAAGAAAGAGTCCCTATTATTATTCCTACTGAACCAGAAGCTCCAGCAGCTAAAGGTACACCAACTGTTCAAGCAATCTATAAAGCAATATGTTCCCTACAAATTAGTTATTCTTCTTCATCACTCCATCCATGTGCTAATCTGTTATTTAATGTGTTCATTCTAATGTTTCCTTAGATGCTACGTGTCTGTCATTGCTTCTTTGTTACCTAAATTTTGTGTATTATAATGTTCTTTTAAAAATGTAATATCTTTGAAGTACCTGCAGCAGCAAAGAAAACTGTCCCACTGAAGAAAATACCCTCTGCTGTACCTACAGAAGAAGCTCCTCCAGCTAAAGGTACATAAGCTCCAAATGAATTTTCTTTAGCCTCTTTCAAAAGTGAGGTACCAAGTGAGAAATCAAATATGCTTGTTTTTCTTGAACAACATTACCAGGTGCTGTGTACACTGTTTTCTTCCATTTGATCTCTTGTTGTAAATTTTGTGTGTTTGTTTGCTTAGTTTTACCTTAGAAAGAGAGCATACATATGGGAAGATCAGAGATTAAAAACATAATCATTTTGCAACCATTTACAAAGAATTAAGAAAAATATTTCAGCATCTTTCTTCATATGTTAAACTAATGAACAATTACTAAGACAGAATGCTTCATCATTCAGGAAAACAAATTCAAGGATCATTTTCTTTAAGTTCTTATTTTTGTCTTGTGTTAGCAGCTGCTCAAACAGAGTAATATATTCTGCATCAAGAATTTGAAATTTAAAAAGATGAAATTAGACAAATACAAGGACATTGAATAGACAGGAAATTCTTAGATCAGTCTTACCTTTTTTTGACTTCTTGTCTCATGTTCTATTTCCCAAAATACTTTCTCTGACATTCTATTAAAAAAAAAAAACCAAAACAGAAACAAAAAAACCCCTAAAAAGTTCTGGCAGAAGCTTGTTTGCAGAAGTACTCTTTGAAGTCATGTTAGGGGCTTTATTAAAGTCAAGATTAATGTAAGACTTTAAATCAGGACAAAATACAAAGCCACAATTATTTTTCATAGAAACATAGTTTTGTAATAAAATTCTAGTGCTAAAGAACTCTATAGATATTTGAAACATAGTATTTAGTGAATTGCACTGGAGTTTTGCCTTGCTTTTACAGGTAATTTTGAAATGTCAAAGAAAGAAGACCCTTGCAATTGCCAAAATTCCTAGAGATTGTTTGATAAGGGAAAAAAAAGAATCGAAGCCACCTAACTACTGTCTTTTGAGAGAACAGCAAATTCAGACCTATAAATGCTAAGAGTTAGAAAAACAGTGAACCCCAGAAAATGAAATTGTTGAGTTATATTAACAGGTTAATACCATGTATTTTCATGTTATTCTAGCAGAATTTTTATTGTTTTACAAAACTGTACTACTTATTTCCTAGTGCAAATTTCTAAAATAAACCAATATTTTTAAGTTCCTGAAGTACCAAAGAAAGCTGTCAGCAAAGAAAAAATACCTCCTTCTCTGCCTAAAGAAGAAGCTTCACACCTTAAAGGTACAAAAAATTTTTATTAGCATTTGAAATATAAAAAATATCTTTTCTATATAACTCTTTAATTATTTTGAGAACATTTTGTCTACCATAAACTAGAGTTTAGTTAGCAGCTTTAGTTAGCTGCAACAGTGGTTTTTTTTTTTTTTTAATTTAAAATTTATGTCACCTGTACTTGTTCTGAAGTGGAAAAAATAGCTTTGTGCGCAAAAGATACAATTGCAAGGGACTCTGCTACGTGAGATCAGTTAGAGGGGAAAAAGAGTTAAAAAAAAAACAGAAAAAGTGACAAGAGTATAGACAGACAGGGCCTTTCTCTTTGCACTCAAGAAAACAACAAAGTTTAGGACATATCACACATTTTCTGTCAAGCTCCAGAGTTCAGTTCACAGTAGAATAAGAGATTTTTTTTCTTCCTTCATTTGAAAGAATCCTATTTTTGAGAGTAGATATAAAATAGACCTGTGTATCTTAAGATGAGCTTAAATATTTGACTGTATTTATTCTTCAGTTTTCACATTGTCTTGTTTTCTGAAGGTATTCTAAGTTAATTTAAGTATTTAAACTAATATCTTTCAAGTACATGAAGTTTATGAGGAGATGCACATAGAAGAAATTTCTACTGTTCATATTAAAGAGGAGGCTCCAGCACCTGGAGGTATATATCTTCTTCATCATCTCTTCCTGTAATTTGCAAAGTCATGAACTCTGGAAAAATTAAATCATTAATGTTCATTTCTTGTTCAATGTAATTAATATTTGTATTCATTCTTTTAGTACCTTACTTACATTACAGACGTGGGATTTTTTTTATGACTTGTCTCTCTATTTTATATAAATTTTTAAAATTAACTAATATCTTTAAAGTGCGCACAGTCGTTAAGAAAGCTGTTCCGGAAGAAAAAGTGCCTATTGCTGTTCCTAAAAAACCAGAACCTACTCCTGTGCCTAAAAGACCAGAATCTCTACCATCTAAAGGTACTTTGATTTTTAATGGAACTGAGGTCTGCTGAGGATAACATCTTTTCTGTTTCTTACATAAGAATGTATGGTCCCCTTGTGTTAGATTTGTAGTGTTTATGTTGTATACGTCTCTTTTCCTGTTTCTCAACTCATCTTTACATCACAAAATTAAAATTAAAATCTGTAAATATCTTTCAAGTGCCCAAATTGCCCAGGATAACTATTCCTGAAGAGAAACCTGTCCCTCTGCTTAAAAAGCCCAAAGGTCCATCTACCAAAGGTATAGGTTGACATGTCCTTTCCTTCTCCTTTTTCTTCAAGTTTCTTCTGTCCCTTGTTTTGTTAAATCATTAAAAATCAGTTGAGTTTGTCTATTTCTTCTGCTCAAGGGTAAGTCATTGTGATGGCACATAAATTGTTTCAGAAACTTGTCAAAGGGACTAAAAATAAGGAAACCTCTAGCTGTTTTGCAGTGGGATTTACAGAATAAATATTTTCACATCATGGGTATTTATAGTCACTGTAAACAGCCTCAGAAATTCTACCAACACTCCAGCAAGAATTATATACACTTCCTCTTTCATATTGCTCATGTTAAACTTAGGGGTCAATTGATTTAATTTTGAATGAAAATAGCAATAGACACAGAAACCAGTTGCTACAATTCATTCAGATATTTTAGAAGTCTATCTGACCTAGCAGTTTGTGTGGCATGTCACTACTGCATGACAAAAGATCCCCAGCAAAGTCACTTCAAACTGTTATTTGTCAGAGGGATAGAACCACAGAGACATTTCAAAACACGTAACTGATGTCAGAGTATCCTTATACATCTACTTGTTTTGTCTTATTTCTCTGTATTGTGTGTGTTATTTTTGTAATACTTAAAAGTACACTAATATCTTTAAAGTATCCAAGGTACCTAAGAAATCCATCTCAGAAGAGAAAATAAATGTTGCCTGTGCCTAAAGAGCTAAGAGTAACACCACCTAAAGCTTATGTCATATTAATGGTGACTCTCTGAGGAGGAGATTTTTCTTTTTCTTGGGCAGTAGGGTTTACAGTAAAAGAAAATATTACCCTTTATTTCTCATTTCTAAAAAATCCCAGTAGTATGTAATAGTATACAACATATTTTGTATGACATTTCTCATTTTATATCTGACCTTATATTTCTTTCTGATATGCTTCTTGTGAGACTCTTTCTTCTTCATAATTTGCATATTTTTAAATGCCTTAAATATAACAAAAATGAATGCTTTTTTCTTTAAAGTGCCAGAGGTGCCCAAGAAAATTCCAGAAGATAAAGTACCCACTGCTGTGCCTAGAACACCTGAACCACCACCAGCCAAAGGTATGTTGCACTACAAATAGCTAAAATTTGGAAGAGAAAAAACCTCTGCCTTGATTTTGCAGATTAGTTTTTTGATTGTTTGTTTGTGTTGCCCACAGTTCTATATATGCTATTGTTTTGAAAATTCTTATTTTCGAATCATAGCTATAATCAGTGTACCATTGTGTTAGAAATACGGGTACGGGTGGCTGGACAGAGATGAGACTGATTCTTGAGAACCACAGCAGAAATCTTAAAAGAGAAAACAGGGCTTCTGTGATCTGAAATACTCCCAGATGACAGTGAAAATTAGCCACAAAAGAGTGTTCAATAATTTCAACATATAGAACAAGTGACACAGATAGCTAAATTTCATCACAGATGAAAAATTGATACCAACAAGGCAATAATGCATAAAAGAATGTGACAAGGAACACAGAATGGACAGGGACAGCCTTAGTCAAACGGAGATGCAGGAGGTAATTGAATAAAAAGGAAAAATAACATAATGTAGAAGGAGAAGAAACTCCAAAAGACTCTGAGGTGTTTCCTCAGACTTTACAAAGACATAAAAGAACCTTAAGTCAATAAAAATGTCAAATCCATGGCTACATTAAGAACCTCCCTACTTTGCAATTTCTACTGAAAAGTTTTTTAACATAGCTGTAAAATTCCATATAATAACTGAAAATAATCTCTTTCCTTAAAGTGCCTGAAGCACCCAAGGAAGTAGTTGTAGAAGAGAAAATCAAAGTTACTGTGCCTAAAAAGCCCAAAGTACCACCAGCTAAAGATACTTGTCATTAATAAAACTACAGCAATAATTTGTCTTACTTTCACAAGATAAGACCTTTTTGATACTACTTCCCCATCTTTCTATCTTATAAACTCTGATTTTTTTAAATTTAATTTTTGTGAACAGCCTCTTTACTCCTCTGAAATTACTCTCAATCAAAATTGAGAGCAAAGAGCCTATATGGTAAAGGGTATTATGTTTCATTGATGTTATCTGGTGTCCTTTTGTTTGTTTATTTTTCCACTTTAATGCTATTTAGATTTCTTTAAATTTTTAGTATTAACATAATTATTAATTTTAAAGTGCCCGAAGTGCTCAAGAAAGTCCCAGATGAGAAAATACCAGTTGTGGAGCCTAAAAAACCAGCAGTTCCACCAGCTAAAGGTACTTGTCACTGTGACAAAATTAACAGAATCAATATCACTCTTTTTGTTTTAACACTATAGAAGACAGTACCCAAAACCTCTGTTTTAATTTTCTTCTGTTGTCAAAGGTTTTTCAAGTGAACAAATGTGTTGTGTGAAAAAAATAGATCTTGGTCTTGTCACTAATACTGTTCTGCTGTTATGCTTTCACATTGTTTATGAAATTCTCATAGTAAAAGTTCTTAATATTTTTCAAGTGCCTGAGGTACCAAAGAAAGTGGTCCCAGAAGAAGTTTCAGTTAAAGTACCAAAGAAACCAGAACCTCCACCAGCTAAAGGTAACTGCTGTATGCAATTAATGAAAGAAAAACCCTTAATTGTCTAGAGTACCATTTTAACATATTGTTAATTTACTTTTACTATAAATGTTCTATAAAATATTTTTGTTGTTTAAATATAGTTTTCCCATCTGTACCTCAATGAGACATCAGACAGAATTTTCTGTAGGCAAAGCAAAAAGTTGATATTCACATCCAAAACTACTGATGCTGCTTATGTCTGAGTTTTACTTTTTCTTAGTGTCTTAATGCTGCAGATGTATGTTTGAGTTTCATAAAAATAATTTAATTACTTTCTTTAAAGTGCCTGAGGTGCCCAAGAAAGTGGTTTCAGAAGAAAAAGTACACATTGAAGTCCCTAAAAAGACAGAACCTCCAGCACCTAAAGGTACATGTTCAATACTGATAAAATTGCACATAAATTTTAATTTCTCTAAATATTATCTTTTTTAAGCTGGCATTATGATCTTCTTTTATATTCTAATATTCATAGATATTTATAAATGTTACAGATTTTGTTGTCTTTTTCACTTGTGAATAGTACCTAGTAAGCAACAATGGCTACTAATGGTGAGCATCTAGCAAGATGAACTAAACACAAACTGTTTATAAGGGGTTTTGGTTTTTTTCTGATAATTTTCACCTTGGAGCTATTGTTGCCTTTTTAATTCCTATTCTTTAAATCCCTGAAAGTAAAACAAACAAATATTTTTAAAGAAACTGAGGTGCCAAAGAAAGTTGTTCCAGAAAAGAAAATACCTGTGCCTAAAATACCAGAACCTGAAGTTGTGCCTAAAGAACCAGAACCTGTGATTGTCCCAGAACCAGAGGCTGCACGTGAAGAACCAGAACCTCTACCAGAGACAGGTAAATCTCAACACTAATAAAATAACAAAAGCAATATTTTTCCTCTTTTCTTTAACATTGCAATTTTTCAGTTCTTCTGTTTTCTGAAATTCTAAATTATACTTGTTCTCTGTATCTGCATATGTGTGAGAAACAGATATATGTGGGTCTTTTTGAAGAATAAGGACAAATCTTGGATGTCTGAATTGCCTGTATTCTATACTTAAATTCTTCTTAATATTTTGGATTATTCTTACTATTCTGCCTGCTTGGGTTCATGAAAACAACCACAACTAATATATTTAGAGTGATAAGAGTAGAAGAAAAGAAAGTACCCATTCTAACAGCTAGCTAAGAGCAGAAGATATCAATGTAGTTAACATACCAGAAGCTCAATAAAGAAAAATTGGATGCCATTATTGCTAATTCTTGAAAGAGTCTTCAGTTTATTACCTGCAACATTATTAATATCTTTTGTCCTGTCCATTCTGTTTATGGGGGCATGAGGCTTCGGGTGGGAGAGGGGTTGTGTGCACATTTGAGAGAAAAGGGATAAAAGCTGAAATGTAGTATATTCATCCTTAAAAAGGCCAATATAAATGATTGATATCTGATATGTTTTTAACGTTTCCATTACAATTGTGGGTTTATGTTTTATGATTCACTTAAATTCGGTACAATTGTCTGTGCAGTTGTTAAATCTAGAACTAATATCTTTTATGTACATAAAGTGGCCAAGACAACCTTCCCAGAAAAGAAAGTAACTGTTCCAGTTTCCCGAAAACCAAAGCCCATTGCAGGACCCCAAAAAACAAAGCCTCAAGAAGTAGAACCTCAAGAACCAGAACCTGCTAGAGTGGTTGAAAACCAAAAGTCTACTGTGGCCCCTCGAAAAATAGAGCATGTTGTGGCATCTGAGGAGCCCAAGACTGTTTTGGCATACCAAAAACCAGAATTTGTTGTGGCATCCCAAAAACCAGAGCGTGTTGTAGTGCCAGAGAAACAAGAGGTTGTAGCTGAGGAACCCAAGCCTGATGTGCCACCCCAAAAGCTAAAGCATGATATGGTACCCTCAAAACCAAAACCTGTTGTGGAACCCCAAAAACCAGAGCCATTCATAGCCCCTGAGGAAACTGAACTCACTGTGGCACCTGAGGAGTCAGAGACAGTTGCATCAACCCAAAAATCAAAGCATACTGTGGTGCCCCCCAAAACAAAACCTTCTATGCTGCTCCAGAAAACAGAGTTTGTAGCACATGAAGAAACAGAGTTTGTTGCAGATTTCCAAAAATCAATCCAAATTGCAGTGTCCAGAAAATCAAAGCCTGTTGTGGCACCCTGGAAGTCAAAACCTGTCATGGTGCCTGAGGAACCGGAAACGATTTTAGTATGCCAAAAACCAGAGCCTTCTATGGTACTTCAAGAAATGAAGCCTGAGGTGGCATCCGATGAACCAGAGCCTCTTTTGGCACCTGAGGAACCACCACCAGCCAAGCTGACCAAAAAGCAAGAGAGTGTTGCTATACCTAAAAAACGAGCAACTCCACAGTCTAAAGGTACCTCTTATGAATAGGATCTCTTTTCTTTCTCTTGAGTATATTATGTTTCACTGCTCATTTTAAAACTTAACGCAAGTAACTAAAAGATACTAATATCTTTAAAGAGCCTGCAATGCCCGAAAAGGCTGTCCCAGAAGAGAAAATTCCCGTAGCTGTTCCTGAAAAATCAGAACCTCCATCAGCCAGAGGTAGATATTAACATGAATACATGATAAACACACCTAATCTTCTTCTCTTAAGTATTATCTTAACCTCTTTTTTTCTGTCTGTCATTTCGAATCTGAGGCTTCAAATAATGCTTGCTAAACAAATTGCACTGAGTATAAGTGTGTGCCAAATTGTCACTTCAAAACATTTCTGTTGTCCTCTGTGCTTCAGTCTCTGTACTTATGTTTATTTCTACTGTAATTGTAAAATAAAATGCACTAATATCTTTAAAGTGCCTGAGATGCCTGAGAGGGCTGTTCCAGAAGAGAAAGTGACCATTGCTGTACCTAAAAAAACAGGAGCTCCACTTGCTAAAGGTACATGCCACCATGATTATCATCATAAGGAAGGGGTTTTTTTTTTAAATTACTCTCATTTTAAATTGATCTTTCACTGTATTCTCTAATATCTAAAATGTGAGAGATATGTACCAAATATGAATTGCTGTGCAGAGACATCAAATGTTTCCTCATCTAAACCCATCCAAACATTTGTTGTACTGTGTTTTTTTGGCATATTCAAAAAGTTCAGGAGGTAAGACTTGACTTCTTAGGTTATAGCATTAAATCAAGCAGGTATGATGAACTCCTGTCTACCAATAAATGCCAAAACTTGATGGATGGTAACAAGAGAATGAATCCATAAACTGTTGTTCACATTATTAGTAGGGATGATTTAGTAAACAGTTTAGAGAGACTTTGCAGTGCTAGATTTATGATTGGACTCGATGATCTTAAAAGTCTTTTCCAACCTAAATGATTCTATGATTCTATGAGAAAGGACTAAATAAGCAGAAACTGAAGGTTTCAGCAGCAGGTAGCAGTTTCTGTACATAGAGCGAAATAATTGCAGATATCTCTATATACCTGTGTTGCCATGGGTAGCATCATAGAGCAGAATCTTTTCTTTAAACTGTTAATTATAATTTTCCTGTACTTTGGTCATATGCCAACATTCTCCACTCTGTGATTTGCAAAGTAGTTACATTGTAGTTACAGCACCAAAGACCTGTAAAGTTCCTATGAACATCTAATTTACTGACCCTTTTAAGAGACATTTATTTTCTCAGATTAATTGGAATAAGAGACGTTATAATTTAAATACTAAAAGATTAGTTAAAATATTCTACAACTGTACACACCATAGATAGATACAGTGCTGCATTATTTCATTTCCTTTAGAAGTAAACATTCCCTCTGACATCAGATTCTCTCCATCTGAAATACAGTGAAAATCCTCAAGTGAAGTATCACCTCACAGTGAAGATATTTAAAGTATTTCAATAATTTAAATGAATATAACAAGCAACAGTTATAGGCACCATCTAGTGAGTAAAATGGAAGCCAGAGCTGTTACAGGAAATAATTTATGAAGCAAAAAAAAAAGGAAAAATACAAAGAGAGAAAAAGAAAAGTGAAGGCAACTTGAAGCATAAAAATAATTATAATCTCTGAGTGACAAGTAAAAAGATAACAGTGACTGTCAAAACCAGCACAGAACACACCATTATGAATGATACATTCAGTAGGATTCCACAAATAAGTCTCTGATCAGCGGTTACAAAGAGGGCATATATTTTCTACATTTCCACCTTGACTCAGAAACAGAAACTAAATGCAGAATTACCATCTCCTACATGACATATTTGATACCCTGGACATTCCACATATTTGAAGCAAAGCATAACTGATGACTGAACGTAACCACAGCCATTTCTCAAAGACGACTGTGTGCACGTAGTATTGTTTGTCTTATTGTTTTATATACACCTCTAGTTCCCACAAAACTAAAACATACTAATATCTTTGAAGTGCTCAAGGTGCCCAGGAAAGGTGTTCCAGAAGAGCCCATACCTGTAACTGTGCCAAAAAAGCCAGAACCTGCACCAGTTCAAGGTACCTGTCATCTTGTGCATCAGCCTGAACGAGACTGTTTGTTTCTGTCTTACATGTTACTTCTGATGTCTGTTATCCTGTCCATTTATGATTACCTGAAATTTCTACAGTCTGTGCTGTGTACAGATTCTATTGTTAGAACGGCAAATACATAGGCAACATGCAGAATGTTCCCAGTCTCCTTCATATCTGTTTAGAATCTAAAATTCTCTATATAAAATCTGATAAGATACATGGGAAAGCTTTCTATGTTGGATTTTTAATGTAAACTTCTGTCTTTATCATTTTGCCAAGGATCTCAAGTAATATAAATGGGTTTCTTACCCAAAGTATTTTTCTTCAACTAGCTGGCAAAACTGTCCTATTGTCTGGTAGTAAAAACTAGACACAGTGAAGAACATCAATATTAAAAAAACAAACAAACAACCAAACAAAAATAAAAACTGATCACTTCAGAGAGAATAAGGAGGAAAGCTATGTTAAATGGACTGTGAAGCAATTGAAGTTACCATGGGAAAAGAATCCCAAAGTAAAAAGAGGGACATTCCTAGATAGCACAACACTATTTTAAGACTGGAGCATATGTGATTTAGGCTTAGATCCCCCAAAAAAAGATACTCCAAACTTGTTAGTAAATGCATTACTTATTCTAATGCATGGTAGGTCAGGATGGTCTATATTTCGTGGTCAAATTTCATATGAGAAAAACATATGGCTGTAGTCATACATTGATGTAACATCTTTCCAACAATAAGCTCATAGGGACTCAAGAAAGTGGATTCTGGAAATCTACAATTGAAATACACAAAGTTATTAGGTACGAGACCATCAGGTTTCTGTATTTGTGTGCAACAATTCCTCATCGCACAAGAAGGAGAGCAAGGAAACTTGCTCACTCTGCAGGTAGCCCTTTTATACTCACCAAATGCAATTTCTAAATCAGGATTATAGCAGCACCAAAAACTCACTCAGTTAAAAATTTCCACATATACTGCAAAAGAGTTGAAAAAACAGAACAAAAAAAGTGGAGAAAAACAGTAATGGTGATGGGATTTATATTCCTCATCTTTTCACTGCCCACACTGCTGTATGCAAAGCACCAGCATCTTCATGAGGAATGGAAACAGATAAAATATGGACTGAGGTGGCTCCTAGGGACAAGTCAGATCGCAGCGGGG